CCTCCGGCGTCAGGGCCGTGTTCTCTTTCTCAAGAAAGGCTGCCCGAATTGTGATCTGATTCTCCTTTAATCGCCGAGCATCACGGGAACGCTTTGCTGCCACATTGTTCTTCTTTCGCCTTGTCCAGTATTTTTCGTCCTAAGCAAAAAAAAAAAAAAAAAAAAAAAAAAAAAAGAAAAAAGAAGAGCTTCTTTGCAAATTCTTTGGCTGCTGAAGAGCCTCTCGTTTCCGATCTCCCGACTGCCATGGGGCATCTTGTAAGATATATAGAGGTCGTTGTGTTTAGACAAAGGACACACAGAGAAAATAGCTGCAGTTTATGGGTGCGGCAGGAGGGGAAATGCTTTGAGAACTTTTTTATTTATTTTTTTTTTTTATTTGATTTAGAAACAGGCACGGAGTTTATTTTGGTCCAAAAGATAGTCACACACAACGGCTTTAAATGGCAAAACTACGCAAGAAAAATGACGAGTCTCACATGGCTTGAGCTGAAAATGGGTTTGGGAGAATACCTCCCCTGTTTGCTGCAGTCCAAGCAGTATCCATTAGCTTGGGGGTTTCTTTTTTTTTTATTAAGGATGTTTCCTCCATCTAGGCTTTTTTCCTTTTTAATTTTATTTTTTTCTAGTGTTCCTTTAGCTTTCAATGTCCTACAGGATGCTTGTGATGAGTGAGGAGGGTGGACTTCTCATGTCCAGCTCCAGATCCCCATCTCTCCTCCTGGAGTCATTATTTTCCCCAAATGCATCTTCCCACTGGGAAAATTTCCCCCGGAGCAGGGGGCTGGCAGCTTCTGCGCTGAGTTGCCTCGGGTGGACCCTTGATTTTGCTAAGGAAAAATAAAGCAGACCCATTTCCATATTTCTGGGTCCGTTGGAGGTAAACATTTCCCATTGCTGCCGCTCTTACAGCGGGGTTTGGGGCTGTGGAGGGGGATGAGGAGTGGGAACATCCCGGTGTCCAAGGGGTTGCTTTGAGCCATGATACTCTGAAGGAGTTCAGGTCTGGTTCAGATTTCAGCACGTTTGGCCAAGGATTTGGGGTGAAAACACACCCAAATGTGTCCGTGCCTGTACATGCTTCTCCCCGACGGGCTTGTTGAACGCGAGGTCAGTCTCCTCTTCTCGCCTCCTTTCCTTTTTTGTTGTTGTTGCCTGAATTATCTTCTCCAGACCAGCCCTGCCACACACACCCAGTTCCTCGCTGGGTGCCGGGGATGGTGTCTGCGGGGAAGGCAAAGTCTGTAAACAGGATGGGTGAGGGGGGCCAGCTCGGGGGCACGGGATGCCCGGGGAGCTCCCGTGGTACCCAGGGGATGGGGATTTTGGGAGAGGTGCCAGCCCCCCACCTGCTTTGCTTTCTGATGTGCTGGAGTAGTCACCAGTGGTGACTTCTCCTGCCTTAAATATTCAGGATCTTTTAAAAGGAAGGGCTGTGCTTCGCTGCCTTCCCTTTGCTGCAGGTCAAGTGCTTGTTTCCCCTGGCCAGAGGATCCAGTGCATCCTTGGAAGGTCTCCATCCCTCGCCTTGGCCAACGGGTGTTTCTGGGGCTCCTTCAGAGCAGGGCTGGCTGGGACACACAGGAATGACCTCCTGCCATTCCCAGGAGTTTCCCAGGGGTTCCTGTTGTGCCCCTTGTGCATCACCACGGGTGACATGGTACCCGGTGGTTGTTTCATATCAACATCATGCAAGAGCTGATACGAGGCCAGTCGTGTCCCCCCCACCCAGGGACAGGGATGCCAGCCCCCACCACGGCCACGGAGACGCCTGCCAGGGCCAGTGGTGCCAGCACACAGGCTCGTTTTGGGGTGGAGGGTGGCACCTGGCTGGCACACAGGGTCTGGGCACGTGTCCCCTCTGCCTGTCCCAGATGGGACAGGACACCGTGCAGAGGGAGCTGGCAGCATCCCAGCCCTGGATCCAAGCCCCCTCCCCTCCTCTGTGCCCCCCCCCCAGCTCCAGGGGTCCCACTTTTGGCTCTTGTCTGGGAGTTTAAAGGAATTATCCTCGCAGGGAGCGAGCCTCTCCCGTGGCGTGTGTAATCCTGTTAATCCTACAGTGGGGAAGGGACATCGGGGGTGTGATGGGGACGGCTGGGCTGCAGGGGGGGACACACCATGGGGGGCTCTGGGTTACAGGACAGCATGGCTGCCCGTGGATAATATGGCTCCGTGCAGGGATGCCCTTGGGGGTCTCTGTGTCCCCTCTCCCAGCACCCTCGAGAGGCAGGGATGGGGCTGAATGCATCAAGGCTGGAAGGAGGGTGCCAGGGCAGGAGATGTGACCATGTGGGGTGCAGTGATGGGATGTTGGGTGCAGTGGTGGGATGCTGGGTGCAGTGGTGGGATGTTGGGTGCAGTGATGGGATGTTGGATGCAGTGGTGGGATGCTGGGTGCAGTGGTGGGATGTTGGGTGCAGTGGTGGGATGCTGGGTGCAGTGGTGGGATGTTGGGTGCACTGGTGGGGTGCTGGGTGCAGTGGTGGGATGCTGGGTGCAGTGATGGGATGTTGGGTGCTGTGATGAGACTCTGGGCACAGGTGACTGAAGACAGTATTTCCCAGAATTTAGTTAACTTTGGGGCCTGCAGCCAAAAGCAGTGGCTCCCAGATTCCCTGGTGAACAGCCCCTGGCCAAGCATCCGTGCTGGTGTCTCCCCTTCTCTGGACCCGTATTTGCTGGTGTGAACTGGGGGGGTGCCAGGGGTTTTTGGGGTGATGCTGGGGGGCTCCTGCCCGCCTGCCCCTGCTGCCTTCCTGCAGCTCCTCCTCGCAGCCTGTCCCAGGGGCCACGAGCCAGCCCCTTCCTCGCACGGGATTGTTTTGCAAGCAGCGTGACAGGATGAGGAGGAAATGTGCCAGGAATGGCTCTATGGCCCCTCTCGGGAGAATCGGAGTCTATTTTTAACCCCCCCCTTCCC